GGATTGTTAAAATGATACCACGAATCATCAGCTGGAATGTAAGGGGACTTAATGAAGTAGGGAAAAGGATGGGTGTTCGACATCTGCTAAGGGGCTGGGGAGCGGATCTTGTATGCTTACAAGAAACCAAGATGGAGTTTATCTTGAGGGCGGTGGTCAGTAGCTTATGGGGGGGACAGCATGTAGGGTATCAGTTTATGGGATCATCAGGGGTTTCTGGAGGCATATTAGTCATGCGGGACACCAGAGTGCTTGAGATGGAGGAGGTGAGTGTAGGATTGTTCTCAATATCGATGTCGTTCAGAAACATTAGGGATGGATTTCAGTAGATGTTCATAGGTGTTTATGGGCCTAATACTGATGACAGTAGACGGGGATTGTGGGATGAACTGGCTGGAATGATGGCTTGGTGGAATCTACCGTGTATAGGAGGTGACTTTAATGTGGTTCGATTTCCTATTGAGAGGTCGAGCAGTAGGAGACTCACGAGGGCTATGGAGGAGTTTTCAGACTTTATAAGGGAGAATATGTTGGTGGATTTGCCTATGATTGGGGGAGATTTTACCTGGTCTTCTAATCGGGATCAACCGGTTCTTTCTCGTATAGACAGGTTCTTGATATGCGGAGAGTGGGAGGCTAAGTATTCAGATGTCATTCAGAGAAGATTGGGGAGGGTGTACTCTGATCATTTCCTCATTATGTTAACTGGGAACAGGACGGGTGGAGGACGAAGGCCTTTTAGGTTCGACAAAATGTGGTTGAAAGTCGAAGGTTTTAGGGAGCAAGTACAGACTTGGTGGATATCTTATGATATTAGAGGATCTCCTAGTTTTGTGTTGGATCAGAAGTTGAAGTCTTTGAAAAGGGATTTAAAGAAATGGAATGAGGAGGAGGTGGGCAATGTGAACTATCGTAAAATTCAGTACCTTTCGGAGATAGATGAGTTGGATAAGTGGGAGGAGCGTCGAAGGTTGGATGGGGAGGAGAAGGATAAACGTAGAGCATTAAGGGAAGAACTGGAGAGGTTGGTGGAGATGGAGGAGATTGCTTGGCGTCAGAAATCTAGGGTCAATTGGTTGAAAGAAGGAGATAAATGTACTAAGTTTTTTCACAGGATCGCAAATTCTAATAGGCGTAAAAATTCTATCACAGTGTTGGAAGTGGATGGGATAACTTATGAAGCACCACTCGAAATTGGAAGTCAACTGGTGAACTTCTATCAGAATCTATATCGGGAGCAGTTTGAGTGGAGGCCAGAGTTGGAAGGATTGGGTTTTTCTACAATCACGGAGGATGATGCCGATTGGTAAGAGCGACCTTTTGAGGAGGATGAAATCAAGGAGGTAGTGTTTAGCATGAACGAGGATAAGGCCCCTGGACCGGATGGTTTCTCGTTCTCATTTTACAAGGCTTGTTGGGAGGTGGTGCGATCGAAAATCTTGGATGTGTTTACATATTTTTTTGAACGTGGCAGGTTCCAAAAAAGTTCTAATGCTACATTTGTTGTGCTTATCCCTAAGAAATCGGGGGTGATCGACATTAAGGACTTTCGCCTTATTAGCCTTGTCTGTGGGATGTATAAGATTATTGCGAAAGTCCTGGCGAATAGATTAAAGGAGGTGCTCGGAAAAGTAGTGTCCAAGTTTCAGAATGCTTTCGTAAAAGGTCGCCAGATTTTGGACTCTATGCTTATAGCGAATGAATGCATTGATTCAAGATTGCGTTTGGGAATTCCCGAGATGCTATGTAAGCTCGATATTCAGAAGGCATATGATCATGTGAACTGGGGGTTCCTTTTGTATATGCTTAGGAGGTGCGGCTTCGGGGATAAGTGGTGTAAATGGATTCAGTTCTGTATTTCTACTGTTTCGTTCTCAGTTATGGTCAACGGATCGCCGAAGGGTTATTTTCGTAGTAATAGAGGTTTGCGGCAAGGAGATCCACTATCCCCATTGCTATTTGTTATTGTGATGGAGACTTTCAGTAGGATGTTTGAAAGAGCTGTGGGAGAGAGTTTGGTAAGGAGCTTTATGGTTGGCCAATTGCAGGTGTCTCATTTGCTATTTGCAGATGACACGTTGATCTTATGCGATGCGGATGATGAACAATTCAGGAACCTGCGTTGTTTGCTCCTATATTTTGAAGCGGTGTCTGAATTAAAAATCAATTTGGGGAAATCTGAGATTATTCCAGTAGGGGAGGTCACTAACGTGGAGGAGTTGGTGGCATATTGGGATGTAGGGTTGCACAATTGCCCATGTCATATTTAGGGCTCCCGCTAGGGGCACGGTTTAAAAGTACACATATTTGGAATGGTATTATGGAAAGAATGGAGAGGAGGTTAGCAGGGTGGAAGCGTATGTATCTTTCTAAGGGAGGCCGACTTACTCTTATTAAATCCACTCTCTCAAATCTCCCCACTTACTTTTTGTCATTGTTTCCTATTCCAGTTGCAGTGGCAAATAGATTAGAGAGACTTCAAAGAGAATTCTTATGGGCAGGGCTAGGGGAGGAGAGGAAAATGCATTTGGTTAATTGGGGTACTGTCTGTTTGCCTATGAGGATGGGGGGGCTTGGAGTGAGGAGCCTTGTTTTGTTTAATAAGGTTTTATTGGGCAAGTGGTTGTGGCGATTTGAAGTGGAGAGGGAGAGCTTTTGGAGAGAAATCACTGGGGCAAAGTATGGTGTGATGGAGGGGGGTTGGTGTACGGTTGAGGGTCGTGGCTCCTATGGGGTGAGCTTGTGGAGGTTTATCCGACGGAGATGGAGTGATTTTAGCGACAAACTTAATTTTGTGGTGGGAAATGACACTGATATTAGATTTTGGCATGATAGTTGGTGTGGCGATCAATCGTTAAAGGAGGGATTTCCTTCATTATACCGCATTGCGTTAAAGCCTGCTGCTATGGTGGGTAATGTATTAGACATTCATAATGGGGGCTTTAGTTGGAATATTACTTTTGAAAGGGGCTTACAGGATTGGGAATTGGAAGATTATTCGTTGTTTTTTACTGCCCTGCATGAGATACAAATTCGGGTAGGAGATGGTGATTGCAGCAGGTGGAGGTTGGCTCGAGACTGTATTTTTTCAGTCCGCTCATACTTTCAATCCCTTTTGGGATTTGTGGAAAGTTCATTACCTTGGAAGATGGTTTGGCAAAGCAAATTGCCTCCACGGGTAGCTTTTCTATTGTGAACAGTTATGAGGGGACATGTGTCAACGGTGGATAATCTTCGACGCAAAGGATTTTATGTAACTGAGTGGTGCTATATGTGCAAGAAGGATGGAGAGACGATTGATCATTTATTCATTCATTGTGATGGTGTACGTTGGCTTTGGAACAGTATTCTGGCTTCTCAATCAATGGATTGGGTGCTACCTAGGCGTATAGAAGACGTGGAGCGAGCATGGAGGAGAAAACTTCGTGATAAGGATAGCATACTTCTTTGGAATCTTATTCCGGGATGCATTGTATGGTGCATATGGAGAGAACGGAACGATCGATATTTCGAAGACCAAACAAAGACAATAGAGCAGATAAGAGAATTATTTTACTTGACTTTGTATATTTGGTTTAATGCAGTGGCTAAAAATTCTATTGTAGGGTTGCCTAATTTTATGTTGTTCCTTTCATGCTTAAAGTGATTATATACCTCCCGTGTACTCTCTTTTAAGAAATAAAATTCTATGATTACCTATAAAAAAAAAAAGAATCATAATATAGAGCTACGGCATAGTCTGTATATGAGATAATGTGGATATACCAGCTCTTAGCTGAAGTTGGTCTTAAAGCTCCAATACCAGCAAAGTTGTGGTGTGACAATCAAGTTGCTCTTTATATTGCTTTTAATCCCGTGTTTCATGAAAAAACTAAGCATATTGAGATTGATTGTCATTTCGTTCATGAGAAGGTGCAGCAGGATATTTTGGTTGATTATATTTGTAACAAGCCGCGTATGATTAATATCTATGCTACAACTTGAGAGGGAGTGTTACGGGATGTAAATAAGGCTTAATTATAGGGATTCCAAATTTTTACATCTTCCTAATATAGAATTCTAACTCTGTGTATATGTGTGTGTGTGTGTAGCACTTCTCTTCTATGAAGAATAACAAGGAAATTATCTTCTTTCTTAATTTCTTACAGTTATAACTTCATCAAAATATTAAATCTAATTTAATCTAATCTAAACAATCACAATATGAATTAAACATTTATTTTAAATCCTATCTAACTTCTATTTCTATTCTATATCTACATCAAAATCGCTCGCCACTATGATCTTGTTTTAATTTGAGTTTCAATTATGCTTCCTTTGTTTTTCGGTTATTTTCTACGTAAGATTTTTGGGTTAAAAACCATGTCAGTCACCTAGAGATGGCAGCGGGGGACAGCTTTTTGCCCTGTTCTCTGCCCCTTTTAATTTATTTATTATTATTATTATTATTATTATTATTATTATTATTATTATTATTTTACATTTTTAAAGTTTCAAGTTATGCTATTCTTAGTGTTGAGTAAATAAACTAATAAGTTAAAATGAAAAGAGTTTAAAACATTTATTAGTGTTGTTAAACTAAAATCGTGTATAAAAGTGGTGTTTTTTAGATTATTAATACCATCTCACTAAGGCCATCTGCCACATAACAAACACCTCTACAAAACCATACTTAACTGATATAACTTCAAAAGTTTGGTGATCAAGAAGTTTTTAACTCTTAAGATTTTTATATGTGCCGATTTGCATTAACAGAAACCTGCTTGCTCCAAGATGGAAAAACAGCATTATCCTTCATGAAAAGATAGACGGTCCTGAACAAAACTGGAGCCCTATGAGAAATTCACGAAAATACAACTACTAATCAACTGACCATATTATTATGTACAACAAGTGAGCTTGTTCTAGTTCTTATGAAATTGATATTAGCCCCTAGAAAGAGAATAAGCACAAGAAGCATTTCATTTAGACATTCTAAGGCATAAATTAAAGTTTCTCACCATTATGGAATATGAAGCAATTTGGAAGCTCAAACCATTTGATTAGTAGCTCATTCTTTGCATACCGAGGAAGGATGCCAAAACGAGCTTTCTGGGTAGCATCAAAACTGAAAATAAACTTTTTTTCCTTCACCATTTCCTGAACATATGAAGACGGAAAGCAAGGTTTGACTATGATTAGTGATTTGATGCACAAATATCCTATAGGAAACTGGTTTATGAGATACCAAAAGATCCTAGGAAATCATTTTACATTTAGAAGTACATTGTCCAAGCTCCAAACTCAAATGCATTATTGTCATATTTGTTAAGCTTTGTTTTGATAATGTTGATTTTCGGCAATTCCAAAATCAGTAAGGGAGCCCTTACAGACCAATTAGAGTCAACAAGAAATTTACTTTACGTATATGTTTATCTGAAATAGATTACTACCTCATAAAAGCTTAAAATATAATACAATCATTTTATGGAAAATTTTACTTCAAATATTGCAGCATTTGTTTTTCCAAAAAAGAAAAAAATCCAATTAGTAGCAATAATATTTTGTCAACTATAGCTGCAGAGCCAGAATGGCAAATTTCTATTAATAGAAATATACAGAACTCAATATAGAGATTAGACAACAAACACTGAATACAATCATGCCCATATAAGTTTTGAAAATTTCAAGCATGTTTAAGTTTTTAAAAAATAAAAAAAATTCAAATGATAGTATTTGATTGGAACTCTTTTCACTGTTTAAGTTTTTTCTCAGATGGATCGGTTAAATTACTGAGTAACAATATAAAGGAGAAACCAAATGCTTGGCTAGAGAAGTCAACTAAAAGGTACAATCGTGGACAGAGGGAGTATATGATTGAATTAGGTTGAAATCGAAAGCACAATTGATTTGGAAATTGCTAGTATCACAAAGCAAGTATTATGTTTAAGTAATTAGAACAAACACTATGATCAGGATAATAGATAATATTTTTGGATTGCCATACCTTTGGCTTAAAGTATAAAGGGAGGTCCAAAAAAATTGCGTAATTTTCAGTAATTGCAAAATCATGCATCATGATTGGGCCTGATACTGTTATTGGAACTGGATCATTCATTGCTCCATCCCTCGATATAACTCTGTATGTGACATATGGTGGTGTGTGTGAATAGCCAAAGGTAAACATCTCTCCTGCATGCAAAGTTTTTATAAGCTAAGCGACATTGTTCATGAACAAAATAAAGTGAAATTTAAAATTGTATTCTTCAACCTAGAAATTTATTGCACCTAACCATCATGCATGTATTGGTTTCAGCACATTGAACCATATTTCATGTATCCATTCAGTTTTGCTTAAGATAGGAGTCACAAATTACCTTGAAAATTGTCATAACTTCAGCAGAATAATTAAGGCATAAGCACCATTAAATATTCAGTTCATTAAAAACTGAATATAGCCAACTTGATAAATCAAGAATGATGGGTTTTCAAGTTGAAGGCAAAGTTGTTACAAGCTAAATAAAAAGCACGGTGACTATTGCAGCTAGGCAAGGAAAGGCATAAATGATTAACCTTTATGGAATAGGTCAAGGTGAGAATGTTAAATATACATAAAAATTAATTTAATTTTAAAATAATTATCTGCTCTGCTCTGCTCTGCTCTGCTCTGCTCTACTTTACTCTACCCTACTCACAGGAGCATGTCTCTTACCGGTGAATGGGTCAACCTTAGGATGAGCAGTAAAAGAATGTGCCAGTCTTTTATCATAGTCCAGCAAGCCAATAGTTTGCAGATCTCCATCTTCCAAAACTTTAATGGCATCTGTAATAGTTATGGGAAATATTGAAGCAAAAGAGAAATAAATGTAGACTATTTTCGTGTCTCTTTATCCTCATAATACAAGTAATCTCTCATAGGGCTATCCACATGAAGAATGGAAAGCTTATACATGATGAGGTAAGTTCATATTCCAGTTTTATGATGAAACTGAAAGGCAAAAGGTGGGAAAATGACACAAACTTGATGGGATTGTGAAATTCGAGTTAACTGAGAATATACATTTCTATTGAATAAAGATAAATAGCTTACATGGTTTGTCTGCTTCACTAAGTGCCAAAAGCTTTCCATGATGATATACTAGAGCGGTATTAGCTGGAACAAAAGTGCAACAATATAAATCAGCAATACAGAAACAGATATAAACAAAATACATGAAATGGACATTTCTTAGATTTATAAAGTTAATTGTCTTAACTATGATTTAATAACTTGAAAAAGTCAAAGACGGAAACATCGTCCTGGCTGAGCTCGCAATTACTAATAAATATATGTACAGTTTTCCAATCTTTTCAGTTGACTCTAATTAAAAGAGAGGGGGTAGGGTGTAACAAAAGCAAAGACAGATTCATAGTGGGAAAGCATACACGACTGACCCACCTGTACCAAATCCATAGGACATATCTAATACTTTCAGTTTTGCTCTGAGCATTTGCATGCTAACCATGAGCAATCCAAACATCCCTTTCAGGTCTCCAATCTGCAAATAATGTCCCCCAGGGTAATGTAATGAAAAGGAAGATATATAAAATGGATATAGGAATGTATTTATTAAGCAGACAATGGCATTTGCTCAAATAAAAACAAAAGGAGAACTATTAAATGATGGTTAATTTTGAGACACATCCAACTCTAACAAAAAAAGACAGAAGGAAAAAGAGAACTATCAAATGCTTGTTAATTTTGAGACATGTCCAACTCCATTCCAAAAATAAGCTTCTTGTTACTCCCAGTTACATTCTGATATCCTCTCTCAATTATATGCCAAATCAAGACGAACACTTTTTGAGATCTTTAAGCAGGTTGAGTTATCATTTCAAGTTACCCTAATTGAGGGTTGATTACTGATTCTACCAGTTTGAGTGAGTAAGTCCACTTAATTCAAGTTTCATTAATGGCACTGACTAGGCATATTAATAGTTCATTGAATTGAATTTCTTCATTTCTTTTAGAAATGAGTTTCTCCATTGGTGTTTAGGTTCACAGAACTTTGATAGGCATTCAGTTGATGAGAAGTGTGGCTGTCAGAATAGTATTGCCCTAGTAGCCACTTTGCACCTTCATTTGGAATAAGAGAGCATGATTGACTTTGAGGGGATGTCTATTCTTCCTATCAGCCACTCAATTTCATTGTGAAGTATCAATACATGACAAATGATGTACAACGCTTTCACAGGTCAAGTAACTTGTCAACTCCTTATTAAAACGGGAAATAGGAAAATGTCTTTCCAAGATCTCGTCAAGTGTAGTAACCTCCCAGTTCTCATACATCTGGTCCTTTTTAAAGGTTCTTCGATGTCTCAATTAAGCACTTTAATTTCCCTTTGTTTTAAGAGATGTGTGGAAAGATCAAGATCAATCCATAAAATATCTTTCATTCAATTTGGATTTAGCAATGAGTATGATAATCAGAGTAAATAGCCACCTGGATACTAGAAGATCCTGGTGCAGTTGTGTCGGTAGGTTTAGGTACTTCAGACATGTTGGAAAAGGTGGATGAGATGAAAAGAGAATAAGATGAAGATAAAGTTAGATAACAAGACCAGGAATTGACATTATGTCTGAGAAGGAAAACAAGCACTGAAAGTGACAAAAACGACAATAAAACCCACAAAAGGAATTAATAGCAAAGAAAACTAAACAGCAATGAGGCCATTGACTTGAAATTGACTACAATGAAAAACCGCCAAGAACAAACAACAATGAAGGCTGTCAGAAATCCCAAAAAACTTAGTATGGCTCAGATAATATCAATATGTGAACATTTGGGGAAGATTGAAACCTGATTCTTTTCCATGTAGAAGTTACAAAGATTAGTATAATATAAGAATTGACTTCTAGAAAGCTAAACATTAAATCATCCTAAAAATAAAGGAAATATAACACTCCACGTGAATAGCCTATTTGCAGAAAGAAATAAAAGCCAAATATTCTAACACGCCAAAACCCAATGCAGAAGTTTCTGAGCGACATCAATAGTAACAATAATAATAGAAAGAAGTTACATTTAACTGAAGAAATTTTATTGCCAAATTTGGGAATTGTAGTTAGATGAAAGAAAAAGAGAGATGAAAGAAGCCATGATGGCAGTTATGTTAATCCAATGAATACCTTCATAAACATAGCTCTGCCAAAAAACTCTTCTTGTTTAAGGCGAGATGTCTGCACATAACGCGAGACATATGTTGCTTTCCCATCTTTTATCCGCATACCATGAATCATTCTGCAGAAATATGGCCATTTTTTAAAGTTCATGATCAGCCATTACATAATTGTTCCAACAATTGAAGTCATTGAATTTTAAATCAGCTGAAATGGAAAAACGCAAAACAGTGACTACCAGCATATAGTGTTATTTAAAAGAAAAATATAAGCAGAATTTCCAACACACAAATGTCAAATCCTCAAAAAATCAGATGCCAATGAAACAAAACTTAATACTCAAACAGCAATGAAAGTAAATTAGAAGAATGTAAGAACGCGAGTCAGACTGAAACAGCGCTTATATAAGTGCCGTCATGCATAAGAATAAATTCCTACAGGACAAATAGCACAAAGAAACATTAAATAATTTACCTTGTTTTAAAATAAATTGAAAAGGTTGAGAAGGATGTAATCCTGGTGATTAAAACATTTTAAAAACATTTCTTAAATGAATTGGATGTCATCATTTCATTCAGCCAAAAAAAAAGGTGTGAGGATAAAAACAGATGGTAAAGCAAATTTTCATCAACTATGATAGTAAGCTCAGAAAGATGTGTTAACGCCAATAACTGATATTTAACAAGAATTTGTCACCTTCGTGATCAGCAATTGTGACTGTTGGGAACACATGTTTTTAAAACTTGAAAGAATCCGGGTTCTACAAACTCTCTAGACCAAAACTGAAAGATTTTGATTTAACTTTCTAGAATGAAAACATTAAAAACGTATTTTTTCTTAGTTTTTATTATTGGCCCTCTGCTTTATGTTTATCTTTGACTTAATAGAAAACAACACTCTGGGCTCTAACCTCCAGACAGCACAATTTCGATTCAGCAGAACAACTCTTTCTTTAAATAAAGGCCTTCAAATGAGTTCTCATTCAGCACATTTCAAGAATCTAATAATTTTATGTAATATATTGTGTATACAGTAGATCAAACAATATCATGCAAAAAGAAAAGCATATCCTGGATGGCCAATGCTGTATTGCATTACAAAACATTGGGATAGGTTTTTCTAGGCTCTAGCAATAAAAAATATTGCAATCTTATGTCAAAAGTTTTGACACACACAAGGACATTTAAGCTATTTGGAGGGGAAGATTCTTAGAAAAATGTAAATTTAAACATGTTATCCCCAGTGATGAACCATGAATGAGAGGTACGCACCCATCTCCATCAAACCTGCAGATAGAAATAAACAAGTACGAGGTTAGACAAATTTGTCTATCAAAACAAAAATAGTAAATCCCACTCACAATTGCAAACAGAAATCAGAGCATAAGAGAAAATTGAAAAGCTGTGTGCAAAATGACGAAGTAATTCGATTGTAGGCATGCTGCCAGAGGATTAATTTCTCAAAAGAAACGGCAAGAGAAGACCATTTGAGGCTCTAAAGAAAACATTTCAAGAAAGATAAAGGGTTTACCAATGATAACCAGCAATTGAAGCAAACTTGGGGTTAGGACCAACCCTCACAAATTCACCATTTAGACACTCCTGCAGTGGAAAGCTTTTCCCAACATTAGATTGTCACCAGCCAAAGCACTAATAGCTTAACAGTTGAACTTTGCTTTTTGATGAGGCTCAATGATTTTATCATATCAAGAGAAGTACAATTATGTAAGTTAGATGTTATCATTATGGTATATGAGATAGGCAATTGACCTCACACATTCTATAATCTGCTTCATTTAGGCTTTGTCTAGGCACAAGGCGGTTTTGCGAGCAAAAGTGCGAGGGCAGGGAAATGGGTCACCATTATAATACCAAATATGTTCTTATTCTATGCATTGTTCTGTAGCATAAGGAGCAATGGCAAAAGAGAAAGAGTGCCCTTGAATTTCCTGGACTTATGATGTATATTGGTTGAATATTTTGCCCTTTTGAGTTGAATTACTTAACCCGCCTGTGTTTTTCTCGGATCTTTCTCCTTTGGCTTTTTTCAGTCTTCCCACATAGTTTTTGTTCCCAATCACAGAGTAAAGCCACATGATATCCTGTTAAAAGCAGGCTTTTGGGCTAGAAACACTGTCTTCATATATCATATTTTTCATTTGCATTTCCTTCGATTATTCCAATGAATAACAGTTGGAATTATATAGAACATAGGTTTAATTTTTTAGTGACAGACTTGTGATGTCCGAAAGTTTACTCATTTGTTCCTGAAGAATGAAGACACATTTATGATAAATGAATTATAAAATACTTGTACCCAATTAGTCCCTGGCTTCATCTAAAACTTGTATAACCTAGTTCAGCTGAATTGCTTCTTCTGTGTGACTATTGAAGTGATAAATTATATACAAACATAAGCAAACCAATTATCCATGCAAAACCGTTCTTGTTTCCTTTTTCTTGATCCTATCGCCAAATGAATTATAATTTCCTCAACTACAACAGATTATTAATCTAGAGGCACTGGAGGTTAGAACAACTCAAAGGGACAAAGTTAGAGGAAAAAAATCCCAGAAATTCATAAAGCACTTAAAAATACTCCATGAATTTGATCAAAATAATTGGACTCACAGGGAGGTGCCCTATAACAGGAAGGTCCTTAAGAGGAGGAGTCTCATCAGCTGGAGCAAAATTCCCAGAAAGATAATGGAGAGGCTGTTTGGAGTCATGCATCATTTTCACAAACAGCCATTCCAACCAGTCTATGGCCTTGGAAGTGAGCCCTTTACTGGGGTTCGGCTTTACAACCACCACATCCTCAGTCCGCTGCGCATCCTCTCCTTCCAGCCCCATCTCTTGGTTCTGAATTGAACTCTCACAAGTAGAAGATTTTAGTGTGTGCGTGTAGACAAAGTGATTAGGCGTCTGTGATTGTGGTGTGTTTGAGTGGAGATGTCACGATCTTTTTCTGTCTGGATGTGATTGGATGCGTAGCCGGCTACGTTGTGAGCTATGAATTTCCGTATGTTTGTGCTTCGAAAGTTTGATGCCACTCGGCTATGATCAAGATCCTCAAAGCCTCAAGTTTTGTCCCGCTAACTGCCAACTTAATTCATTCTAATTTTGCCGTTGTTTGAATCCCTTGAAAATTTTAATACATTTTTTTTCTCGTCTTTTCAATCGCATATTTTTCAATAAAATAATATTACAAATAAATCAAAAAAATTTCATTTTTTAACTACTCATTCTTCTAAAAACTCCTATTCCAAAATATATTTTACCACAATTTCTCATTATGCCCTTGTTTGAACCCCATTATTTTGATAAGAATGAATTTTTTAATAGTATATTGATGGAAAATGTATAGTTAAAAAATAAGGATAGATTTTGAATTTACGTATAATATTATTTTATTTAAAAAATGTGTAGTGAAAATGATGTCAAAAAACTGTTTAAGAATATATATATATATATATATTTTTTTTTTTTTTTTTTTTTTTTTTTTTTTTTTATAATGAAAAAAAAAAAAAAAATAAAATGG